TTTGGATGTTTGGTATGTGTATGCTTGCTCGGCCACTCTTATTCGGTACTGCTCTTTTTAAGATAATTTTGACCTCTGTGTGCTTTTTTCTTTTGCTTAGCATTTTTCTCTGATTTTCATCCACCCTACCTCTCTTGTTCCATCGCTCTAAGTCCACCCGTGAAGCACAACCTGGAGAGAATATCGTTGTAATAAATGCGTACTTGTGTACTGATGCTCGGGGTTGTGCTCTCACAGAGCTGAGTTTATGGTGATGGACCCTGTGAATGAAGCCAAAGCCAGCTTAGCCAGGCTTGTGCATTGCACATACACTTGTGTGTAATGCATTAGCATGCAAGCCTCATGCTAATGTCACCATCTCAGATTTTTGTGCTCCTGACTTTTGTCTGTTCTAAAATGCCCTTGTGTCCAGGGCCACAAATGCAGCTGGTGACCAAGTCTGGCACAGATTTCTCTGCTTGTTTCCCCAGAGGCAGTTCTGCAACACACACAGATACACACATGACCCAGAGACACACTTTGATTTTTACCATCTCGTTTGAAGTGCAAGACCCCGAGCCTGACAGCTTATGATTAATATAAGCCCCCGCCCTCTGTCCTCTCATGGATGTGTAAGCAAACTCACACATGTGCAGAGATGCAGTTGTTGTTCTTGTGCGTGCACAGTGCACACACACTCCTGAATGACACACCACTCCCACCACGCTCTTGCAGTGTTGCTCCAGGGGCCGGCCAGCTCTTTGAACTAGAGCTTCTGACGCCGTGCCATCGCAGCATGGGCACCTCTGTACCTCTCATCATGTTGTCTCTACATTCCAGTCCTGTCTCTTGTCATGTCTTCATCACTTCTTCAGATTGTCACCTGCTGACTGCTTGTCTGACCACATCAAAGAAACTGACCATCTCATCTTGTAGAAGAGGGATTTCTGGGCTAAACTCTAGAGGCTTCGACGAGAAAGCCAAATATTGCAATTCTGACTGTCGGGACTTGAGTTAAGCTTCAGCTAATTGCACTAATTAATATGAATAACTGTATGCATGTTCTCCTTTTGGATTAATGATTTATTTTTTGCTTGTTTTGAGGTGTGTGTGTGTGTGTGTGTGTGTCTGTGTGTGCACGTGCACGCACACGAATAACCTACAGCATTAGCTCTATTCAAGAATGATCTCTGTGCACTCACTCACTGATGTTATAAAAGCCTTAACTGTCATTTTGACCATTATCTCATAAGTTTCAGATATTTTTTATATGGTGGAAAGTATCTCCTGAAATAAATCAGATTTACAAATATGGACGTTTTTGCCATTTTTGACATTTAAAAAGAAGAATAAAAACAACTGACACCTTTGCAAGACAATATCCAAATAATCCTTTGGAATCACACCCAAAACGTTTTACAGGCACTTTTGTGAAAAGCGAAAAACGGTCACAATGGTGAATGATGCGATTTCAGATTAATGGCAAAAGTTCCATGTTTCCTTATTATGCTGCTAATTAAACCTCCAAATATTGTCCCAGATTTTCTAACTCACAGAAAGTAGTTTTTAAAGAATTCCAGATTGGTTACAGGTGCCCCTGATAATAAATATCATAAGGGTAAAATTGTGATGCAAAGCTTCTGAACATGTTTAAAATTTCAGATAAATCAGAGCAGGGGCATTGCTATGGGTGGCCCTGGGTGGGGCCACGGGCCCCCACTGTGCACAAGGGCCCACCCAACCAAATGGCTTTCTTACCATGACAGTTACTCGTGAGCCTGTGGCTGCAGCTCCACTCGGCCCTGGACATGTTTGAAACTGTTGGAGGTGGGAATTCAAGCTCCTTCTGACAGGAGACACTCAGAAATGAGTGAAAATAAATACGTTGAGTTTTTGTGTAAAAAAACAAAAAGAAAAACACAAAGTCTCTGATTCATTAAAAACTGGTGGAAAAAATAATGTCATGCTACCCTTCACCATGAGGTCCTAGAAGGGTGAAACTATCATTATGTCTACATTTTTTGTGAGGCTGCTCAGAAATGACCGGGTCATATGAGACATACAATGTCATTAAAAACAAACAAGCCTTTTTCAGGGGAGTCATTTTCATTTGAAAACTAAGGAAAGGACTTATAGTTGTGTTCCATTTTGAGATAATTCAGCTAGAGCATTTTTGATCAAACCACCAACAGGCATGTCTGCAGGAATGGAATGCAGCCCTGGTTAAAACTTCAGCGACTCCTACTTACTTTTCCATGTCTGTGTCTTCCATACAATGTCTACTTTGTTTGCTGGTTTAGTGTCTTAAAGGGGCATTATGGAAGTTTGACAGCCAAAACATGTATAGAAATAATAAATTTCTTCTTCATACATTCTCCTGCAATGCCCTGGTCCTGTAGAATGAACCCTGGCATTTACTGTGATTGCCTGTTTTTCTATAAATTCACAGAAAAAGAGAGCTGCTCGGGTCAAGCAGGCTGCTTCATGAACGTTCACGCTCAGGCATAGCCCGTAGCATTTGCTATCAGTAGCTTTAGCAGCAGAGAGTGAGGTAGTGCCAACTCTGCGACTTTGTCGCTGTTCCTAACATCTAGTGATGAACCTAGCTACATTTCTGAGGACCCTTAGCTACTTTCTGTAGAACTTTCTTCTAGATATTTCCTACAAATTAGCAACAAAATAGCCATTTTCGCTCCGAACCGTTCTTTGAACGTTGTTTCAGCTGTCATCAAGGATATAAATGTTACAGATACAAAATATGTCACTGGCGCTGTAGCACATATAGTAAAATGCTGGACTCTCGTGCAGAAGACCCAGGTTTGATTCTGGATGTGAATATATTTGATTTAGAGCTTCTTTTTTACATTAATGGTATATTTTTTTTACAGTAAGACGCCCAAATTTTTATTTGAGACTCGCCGAACGGCATTGAATTCACAGATAAAAAAGATGTGGGTTCAACTTTCATTCTGGAACAATTTTTCAAGCAAGGGAAGGGAATGATCTGAGCATGCAGGCAGACAAATCATAAAGCTTTGTCGGCTGTGCTGAAGAGAAAGGTACAGAACCAAATTATTTAATTAGCTGCGCGTTCTCCTGTCCTCTGTCCTCCGGTACACACACACACACACACACACACACACACACACACACACACACACACACACACACACACACGGGACTGTCTCAGCTGTTATTTTCGTTAAGAAGTGTGCACGTACAGCATGCGCCTCGTGCACGAGCCTACTGTTGAAGCTGCCGTTACGCTTTTGGCCTGGGGGGGCAATCGCGAGCATAAAAATTCAAAACTCCGTAAAGTCCCTTTAACTTTCTCACTTCCTGAAAACAAAAGGAGACGGATTCTAGATGCCTAAACTAACTTGGCTATTATGATAGAAAGTTTTTTGCAGAAAATATTTGAACATGTAAAAATTCCAGCGACGCAAGCTCAAGGCCCCAGGAGGAAATTAAGATCTTTTAGACATTTTTTAGACCTTTTTATTGACTTTCCTGCTTTTTACCAACATTAGCAGCAGAAATGATTTTATCTGGTGTATTAAAACTTTTAATTTGAACCACTCAGACTGTTTTACTTATTGCTGCACAGTGAAGTGAAGTAATTTAGTGTGTTGGCTGCCAGTAATAATCCATAAACAGGCTGAAACTGATGATAAACAGCACAGAGACAGAAGACAGTCTTCACATGAAGCCCATTCCAGAGGATCAGACTGGCCCATTGGAGAGTGCATTATTGATGTCTTTGTTTGATCTGTTTCTTTGTCAGGTAGCTGGCTGTGGAGAGCTTCTCTTTTACTTTATAATTAGTTGCTTATGCTTTTCATCTGTGTGTCTTTAGGTGTCCCATTGCTCCCTGGATTTATTACTTGTCAAAGATTTGTGATTTGAAGTAGCGATTCTCTGCCAAACGCACCTCCCCCATCTGAGCGAGGGGATTATTTTTCTCTGTTTTGGGTCTTCTCGTTTTTATTTTGTCTCTCTCCTCCATGGGAGGCTGCTACGTTTTTTTAAGATGCTGGGCTGATCTGTGACGCTGATTCGCTAGGAGTTCAGTTAAAGACACTCTGAAGTCTCCATTATCAGGAGAGAAATCAAGTGTCTCTGTCCTTCTTTGGCGTCCTATCCGTCCTTCTTTGTATGTTTCATTTTCTTTCTTCCTCTCACCGCCTCTCAGCAGGGCACCATTAGCCATTCAGCACTGAAAGGCCTTGAGGAATTGAAACCGACAGAGCAGAAACAGAATAGAAAAAAAACGAATTGTGGAAGGAGCCAGGGGAGTCTGGGAGAGGGGATGAAGAGAGGTGTCGGGGCACACTGGACAGGACACACAGTGTGGCACTGGGAGACGGAGATGGGAAAAGGATCACGTATCCAGGAAGATGAAGAGAAATCATAGCAATGACAGGATGCAAGGGGCAGAATGAGGATCAAGACACTAAACGTAGCAGAAAAAGCACTGAGAAATCTCTGGCCAGTAAAAATAAAAAGGTTTGCGCTAAGAGGAGAGGCTCAGTGGGTACACGGCGTATGCTAATTATGGATTTCACAATTATTAATGATTAATAGGATCAGCAGAATATTAATGTATTCAAATTCTGTTTCTCTCAAAGTTACCCCAGACATAAAATGTTAATCTCTTTTTTGCCCCCCCCCCCCCCCCCCACCACCACCACCAAAAAACAAGACACACACATTTCTGTTATTCCTCCTTTTATTCGTCTTTCTCCTACTTTTCTCATCAAGTTTACGTTCCAGCTCAACACAGCATCTGTTCAAGGAGCAGCTACTGCAGTAAACTGGACTTTTCCTTGCAGGCGCATCATTACACCAACATGCTGTCAGTAGCTGCTAATGTGGAAAGTGTTTTGTATGACTTACAGGGCATTTCCATCAACTGCATGATTTGCTCTCTTTATTGCAGCGCTTCTGCTGCGTGCTATTTTCTGCCATGATTTGCATTTCCCGCTCAATGACAGAAAAAAATAAATGTGCTCTCCCCTCAGGTCCTGGCAACATGGAGACTGTATCTCTTTGCTGTCAAAGTGCCCACCAAGGTAAGGGTTTCTCACTCTTTCAGTGGAAGTTTATGGCTTACTCGCCAGCTGAGGTCTCACAGTGATTCACTACAGATGAAAAAAAAAAGCTGATTTTCCAGAAAAAGAAAGAAAATGTTGATGGTGATGGCATTACAGAATGATGGTGGCAATGAAAATAATACTAAATATTTAAAGTGGCGGACGGCGTAGAGCTTAAGAGATAGTTGACATTAACTGAAAAAGTGTTTATTGGAAGTATTTAGTCAAAGGTGAATATGAGCAATCACAACGTCAAGGTTTGAGTGTTTAATGAAACAGAATGGGATTCAAAAGAGTTTTATGACATTCATAATAAGGTATTGATACACTGGTGTCTGACTCATCAAGAACAAAACAAAACTAATTTTGATGTTAATGAATTCCTGAAAGACAAAGTTGAGCCATTATTCTGGTGCTTTGGTGTTTACAGAGCGTACGCAGAATAAAAAACACTCATATGTTTAAAATGAAAAAAATATCTACTGCATATTTGTTTTTACAGTAGTTAAAAAGCTCTTTTACTGTTAATTACAACAGAAATCTTGTGATAGCTAATAATTCTTTATTTTATCTTTGTTTTTATTTAGTTTTAGGGGCACTTGTGGGTCGATTTTTTTGGGGTTGAGCCATGTTGTCCTAAGCTAAGCCATACTATATAAGTGAGTATATAGTCTGTCCACGACCCACAGACAGATCTTAGTGGTGGGGTGGAATCTGTGGTTGTCTTTCAAACTGTCTCCACAACAAAAAGCGTGATACACCCACCACTACGTATGTCAGTCAATGAGGCAGTCCACCATACACTGTTGAAGAAGACACAAATACACCCTTTTTCTAAATAAAGGACTTCAGTACCTCTATGTGATCTAGATTAAAAGAAAGGCAAAGGTCTGAATAGTCCAAAGTTGATGCCAAAGCAGTTTCAAACGAACCGCCTCCATCTCAGTTGTTTCAGTCGGTCATTTTTATTTATACAATTTTTTATGCACACAATGACAAGGATTGTCAAGAAAGCGTGTTTGCAGTGTTTATATCAAATTAACTCTTTGATGCATAATGGTCACTACAGTGGACAGGTACTTAAAATTGTTATTTATTTATTTTTGCTATTAAGCACAGCTGTTGAAGACTTTATTGCATTTGAACCCGTCCATTTGGACTTCAGTAAGTCAAGCCAACATGTTTCATGTTCAGAATGCACACTGTCCACTGAGGTGGACATGTAATAAATTATTTGTAAATTAAATTTTACAAAAAATATGTAAACATGAAATTTGTTTCATTCACACCTAAAGATGAATGAAAAAAAATGTTAAAAAAATCATGGTTGAAGATTTCATAATTCATGCTTCAAAGGGTTAAACTGAACAAAACATTGATTTACTTTCTTTCTTTCTTTCGTCTTCCCCCTCCAACCCCCGTAAATCCCCGTGTGCCCTCCTACACCACTCCCGAAGGACAACAGACATCAATAACACAAAAAAAATCCAACGTGTTGTGTAAAAGCTGCTATTTTTAGCATATTTGTAGGTCTGACGTGTTTCTACCAGACATACAGTGTGAGCAGTCAGGTCGCAACCAAGAACTGGGTCGTAATGTGTGAGCACGTGACTCGTGAGATTTGCTTTGTGAGGAACTCGTACAGTTTGAGCTGAACGCTACGGGTGAAAAAGTCTCAAAGTGTCCGCCGAGCTTTAGGCAAAACACTCACAGTAGGGGTTCAACCAAGGCTGGTGAAGATCCTTCAAATATCAGCATGTCAGAAAGCATCCGGTCCTTTGGTTTGGTAATACTTTTCATTAGAGCCTAAAAAACAAACAAATAAAAGGTTGCTTTAAAAAATTAAGTGAAAATCACAGATTGAGAATCACAAGAGCTGCTGCTGCTGCTTCCTCAGTCTGCTGCTGCTGTTTTATCAGGTGAGAGCTGTCTTCAAGAGTCCAAGAAGTAGAAACTGAGTTATGTATTAGCAACTAAGTTAACATATTTTTTTGAAAAGCATGGGATATGTTTTTGAGAAGAAGTTTATTTTGAACTAACGCCGTATTTTCATGGATTTGAACTGAATGGTCTCTTCAATTTCCCCTAAGTTTGTTTTAGAACACTACAGAATCGTATCATCAGCACATATATCAACCGAACAAGAAGTGACACACAGTGGGAGGTCATTAATAAAAAGTGAAAATAATGATCTTAATGAAGAGCCTTGAGGAACACCTCTAATAACCCCCTGCAATTTAGACTCGCTACAATTAAAGCAAACATATTGTGAGCGATGGTGAAGGAATGAATTAAACCAAAGCAAAGATAATCTCAAGAGGCCAAAGAAATACAGTTTATCTAAAACCAGGTAATGATCAACCAGATCAAATACTTTGGTTAGATATAAAAAATGGCATCACAGCTTTCACTATTATCATTTTTTTTTTATTTACCAGACTAAATATCGTTCATAAATTTCATCAAAGCTGTTGTTGTAGAGAAACCTTTTCTATATCCTGATTGTTATAGAGAAAGTAGGTTGTTAAGAGTCGAGGTAATCCGATAACTGATTAAAAACCACTTTCTCAAATTCTTATATTAATTATTGCAATAAGCCTATAGTCATTAAGTTCCCACGTATAGCTCCCTTTGTAAAGAGGATACATCATGGTACATTTCCAAGCCTTTGGAACTGTACAAGAGTTAAAAGATAAGTAGAGGACAGGCAAGAACATCCGTCACAAATTTATCAAATCTACACCTTTTACTATCAGGGCCAGGAACATGGCATGACCTAAGAGCCTTTACGGTTTGGGAAACAACATTTGGGCAGATTTCAGAGGGAAAATTGGCTTTAAGCCTGATTCATGCTTTTCCGTCAGCTCCGCAAGGGACAGACACGCACGGATTGACGGAAGCGTTTTGCTCACATACTTCGTTTGCTGAAGGGGTGTTACAAAGCAATTCTCTGCCAGGACAACAGAGGGCGTAGTGTAGGTAGCAGTACAGTGACGTACTATTTCCTTGGCAATCACTTCCGCGGTCTGAAAAATGACAATCAACAAGAGACAGAGAAGTTTGATCGAGTTGGAACTGTGTGATCTAGACGAATAAATGCTTATCCTGCTGAAATACCAGCGAGAGCATAAAAGGAGACAGCGGCGTCGGTGGGATGTCCGTCCGCTAAACAGGTCTAGGCAGACAACAGGCGAATTGCGTCGTGACGGAAGTGATCTCAGGTTTCTGGACCGACCAATCACAAGCATGTGTAATCCGTCTCGTTCGACGGATGTTTAAAAAAGTGGGCTCGACTCCGTACGTACTTGCGTGCCTGCCGGGGGGCTCTACGCAAGGCCTTAATCCTGATTCATGCTTCTCCGTCTGCGTCAGTGCAGAGACACGCAACGTCCTTGCGTGCCTGCTGGAGAGCTCCGCAAGGACAGACGCGCCGGAGCAAAATCGGTCCCGTTCTAGTCAATCAGAGCAATTCCACTACTGCGGCCGTGCTCCAGCAGTGCGGCGCCGTGCGGCGCCCTCTGTTCCGGCGTCCGGCAAAAATAGAATCGATCCTATTTTCGCCGGACGCCGGAGCACCTCCGCAGTAAATGGATAGAAATCACAACGGCCCAACAGGAAAAGGAGCAAGCACATTTTCCGTTTTTCACAATAAATCGAGAAACAAAAGGCGTTTTTTGTTTCATATGCACAGGTTTAACAACTTTTAACAACTATCAATGGCGGCTGAAGTTTAAATGCACAAAAATAAGCCATAAATACAGTTTCCACTATCAAAGTAGTCACACTTTGTTGATCCAAACACTGCTGATCTTTCAACACAAATGATGGGCAGATTAAACAGTTCATTTCGATGCTTCTCCCACACAACGGGTGTTTGGATCTAACTTCCGCGTTTATTGCTCGGACTGTATCGCAAGATCTCGAAAATCCCGCGCATGCTTGTTTGCCCCCCTCAGGTCTCCGCACCGGAGCGGAGCCGTTGTAGAGCGGGTACCAGTAAAAATTGAGTTCGGAAGCGAGCGGCTGCGGAAGGCGGGGGCGGACCGGAGCGGACCGGAGCGGAGGTAGTGGAATTTGGGGGTAAACATCCGTCAGTCGAGACGGACAACGCAAGCTTGTGATTGGTCAGGACGCCGCTGTAGTCTACACCGCCGCCATTGCGCCCTCAAAAACATAAAGAGAGCCGAGGATAACTAGCGGCAGACACGGAGCAGCTTGAAGAATACCTCGCGAAAAAACTCTAAAAATATGAACGTTTAATTCTCTTGTGACTGGAGGAGTGAAAAGATGCGCAGCAAGCGTTTTATTTGTGGACGGAAATGACAGGAAACGTGGGTTTAGAGGTGGGGAGCGCATGAAGAGGTGGAGGAGGATGAGAGACAAATTTATCTGTGTTAAAAGTCTCTTATATACACAAAAAACACAATATAAACGCACGATCTTGGACCAATACATGATACCACAGAACAGCGCTACGCCCTCTGCTGTCCTGCCGGGGAATTGCTTTGCAACACTCCCCAGTAGACAGAGAAGTATGAAAGCAAAACGCTTCCGTCAATCCGTGCGTGTCTGTCCCTTGCGGAGCTGACGGAGAATCAAGAATCAGGCCTTAGTATGAGAACACAAAAGGACAGAAGAATCAAGCTGGGGAGATTTTGCAAAGTGCTGGCTAAAGCCTTCAGCGATTACACAAGGATTGCTAGTGGGCCTTCCGTTAACAATCAAGTTTGTCATTTACTTTCTTTTGCAGCTGTCTTTCCCATGAATCATTTATTATATGAAAAACAAACAGCTGAAAGAAAAGCACTTGCACAATTATCCGTCCATCCATCCATTTTCTGTACCCGCTTTTCCACGCAGGGTCACGAGGGGGCTAGTGCCTGTCTCCAGCAGTCTTTGGGCAAACAGGCGGGATACACCCTGGACAGTTTGCCAGTCCACCACAGGGCAAAACAGAGACACACAGGTCAAACAACCAAGGACAGACACACAGACACACACACACACACACACACACACACACACACACACACACACACACACACACACACACACACACACACACACACACACCTAAGGACAATTTAGAGAAACTAGTCAACCTTACAGTCATGTTTTTCGACTGCGGGAGGAAACCGGAGTACGTGGAGAGAACTCACACATGCACAGAGAGAACGTGCAAACTCTATGCAGAAAGACCCCAGGCCAGGATTTGTACCCAAATTGCTGCAAGACAATAGTGCTAACCATTGTGCCACTGTGCAGCCCTTGAAAAATAATTTATTTATTAAGTACCAGCTAATAATGATTAAAAATGGTTAAACGGTAAGAACAGTCGGATTAAAACAACCAAACAATCTGAAGAGATGCTGCTTCATTACCATGCCATGCTACTTTTATTAATAAAGAGCTTTTAACATGTCATAACAGCCAACCAAAGCACTGCACAAAGCATAAAATAGTCACATCATTAAAACAACATAAAAATTGTACAACAAAGTTGTCAAAAAATGTCAACCAAACAAGCTGGAACCATAAAAACAGACCACAGATTTTAAATGAAAGAATCCAAATAAATTTTATAAATGTAATGAAGAAAATGTAGTCCAGTTCCAGGTGTTTCTTTGTATTTATGTGTTTGCAGACATGGGTGTAATCTGTTTTTTTAGAAACTGAGGCTTACAGATTTGAATTAAAGCTGTTTTCAAATTAATCAATATAATCAAGTCTTGTGCTGTTGCTCCACAGTGATGACCCCTGCTTTCCACTGATGGAACCAAGCAAATGGTTGACGAAACTAAAATAATGAACATCTAATTTGTTCTAGTGTCTCAGTCAACCAGATCCTGTCAGACCCAACTGATCTACGGTGTGGAGTACCCCAGGGCTCAGTTTTGGGCCCGGTTTTGTTCTTGTTGTACATCCTTCCTTTAGGAAACCTAATCCAGGAGTTTGCCAATGATGTTTCCTATCATCTCTTTGCTGATGATCTTCATCTGTATTGTTCTTTCAAGCCTTCTGACGTTAAAAAATTGCATTCTCTATTATCTTGTTTTGAGCGAATCAAACAGTGACTCGGTGCAAATGCCTTACAGCTGAACTCAGACAAAACTGAAGTACTGGTGATTGCCCCCGATAATGTTATTCCAGGGATTCACCGGCAGTTAGGTGATCTGAGTTTGTCTGTAAAACCTACCCTTAGAAACCTTGGAGTTTTCTTTGACAAGGGAATGTCTCTTGAACATCACTCAAAGCAGTTAACTAGAAACTGTTTTTACCACTTGAGAGAAATTTCTAAACTCAGAACAATGGTGTCTAAAGCTGATCTTGAGTTGATTATTCATGTGTTTACATCATCCCGTTTAGACTACTGTAATAGTTTATTTTCTTGTCTAAACAAAAAAGAGCTGTCCCGCTTACAACAAGTCCAGAATTGTGCAGCTAGAATTCTGACCCGTGACAACAGAAGGGCCCACATTACCCCCATTTTAAAAGCTCTTCATTGGTTTCCAATCTCATCTCGCATCAATTTTTAAATTCTTGTGCTGACTTTCAGAGCGCTGCATGGTCTGGCTCCATTGTATGTTCGAGACATGCTCTGCCCTTACACGCCTTCTCCAGGCATTTTAAACTTAGTCTCATTCGGATTGGTTGTATTTGACACTATGTATATTGTGGCTGTATTTTACTGTATTTATATGTTGTTGCCTTTTAACTTGTGAAGCACTTGGTGACCTTTTTGTCTGTGAGAGGTGCTATACAAATAAAGTTACTTACTTACTTACTTACTAATTTCCCTCTGGGATTAATAACGCACTTTTGACTTGAATTGAATCGAATGGGAACATTCTTTGACTGGAGCAGCCAACAATTAGGTTTCTAATTATTCTGTTGATTTTATTTATGTGCTACAAAAGTCTAATTGATCCGGGGGTTATGGTTCCTCTGGAGGGGTGGATGTGATCTCAGACACATAAAACCATCTCACTTTGCTGCTTTTGACCTCAAAACATAAAAATAATACATACGCATGTTTAGGAAACAAGGTAATGAGAGGCAGAAATAAAATGTTTTAATTGTTCAAACGTGTCTTTTAAGTTGTTGCAGTGCAGCAGTAGCTTCATTCACCGATAAGGAATATGTTGTAGGCGCAGGCTTAGGGACTCGTGGCTGAGAAAGTGCAGTTTGGTGTAAAAGTGTTCTGATCAGCTTCTTGGACAGCTCCGTATCTTTTCCAACCCGAGTGCTTCATTAAACAACAGAACAACTCCTGGTGAACTCAGCCAATCAGGACTCACACTTACTGCATGACAACATGAAAACAGTAACAAAGTAAATAACTGTCTCATGATTAAATTGTGTAAAGTGACCTTGGGTGTCCTGAAAGGCGCTTTGAAATAAAATGTATTATTATTATTATTATTATTATTAAAGGGAGGAGGCTTTAAATCATGTGTTCCTGTCACATGTATGATAGAAGCTGATTAGGCCTAAATATTAAAACATCTCCACGTCCTTAAAGAATAAAAGGTTTTTGTAGGTCACTGAGAACCACAGTGGTGTGTTTCTGCTGTTTTCAGATGGAGGTCACGTTTAACTTCCTGGAAATCAGAGCGATGAACACCTACCCAGAACACCAGGTGAGATGCAGCTGAACTAGTAGTTAATAAAATGAGTGCAGAGTAAAAAACGTTCTTTGCCTTCTGCAGGTAATCATCGATACCGACAAGACTACGTACAATCTGAGACTACAGACCCAGGACCAGGTGGACCAAATGGTCAGCCACATCAACTACGCCCTCTCCAGAGTCTTCAACAACTCTATTTATGCGTAAGTCCTTGATGAGTCAATATTACCAGCTTTCATGTGCACCGAGAATTTGGCAATGTCCTTTTGCTTCTCTTTTTCAGAGTGATGCTCATTTTTGTGTTGTTGTAATCAGAATTATATTTCAAATTCAATTCAATTCAAAATGCCTAATTAATCCCAGAGGGATTGTGTTTAGTTCAGTCTTTTTATTTGGCCCAAATGCTCCCAAACAGTATGTCGGTTATTTATACCCTAGTAATGTACTTATACTAACCTTTTTCCCCAGTTATGCAAATGAATGGGATGTCTACCATATTGACTGATTTCCAAAAGTCAAAGCTTCCTCTAAGAGAGTATCTAATAATTGGCCTTTATCCAGTTACTGTGCAGCAAGCAGTGACAGGTGTCATCACATGCTGCTTCTAATCCTTATCGAACTGCACTCAGTCTTAGAATACACAAATCACACAAACCACAAAGTTCATAAATAACTTGAAGCATTGCTGCCCTCTGGAACAGAATAGAATAGAATAGAATAGAATAGAATAGAATAGAATTTATTGATCCCACAGTGGGGAAATCCACTTGTTACAGCAGCACCAACACTCAAGAGAATAATTTGAAGATAAATAATAACAAAGGTACATGTATACACACATAGACAGTAATCTTGTATTGTAAGCTTCAACCACTAAAAACCACGAATAAAAAATGAAAAAAAACTTGTGTTCCAGAGCTATGCAGCAAACTGCAAGAAACACAGACATGCTTTGTAAATCCGGTATCACACGGGCATTAGACACATACTGAATATTGCATTGGTGTTATTGTGTACCAGGATAATGCCAGTACAGCTTAAACTGAGGAGTTATACACTCTTAATTCAGAGTGGAGGAAAGACCTACGTTAGCGTTCTGTTTTACATCTGGGATGTCTCAGTCTGCCTCTGAAGGAGCTGTCCATGGTCTCCACAGTAGAATGCAGTGGGTGGGAGGGTTTTTTAAGATGGTGATCATCTTCCCCGGCATCCTCCTTTCACATATCTCCTCAACTGAATCCAGTAGACAGCTCAGAATTGAGCTAGCTTTGTGAACTAGCTTGTTCAGTCTCTTCCTGTCCTGGTCAGAGCTGCCTGCACCCCAACAGAGCACATCAGAGTGGAGAACAGAGACAACAACAGAGTGATGGAAGGATTTTAGCAGCTGGGAATTAACTCAGAAGGACCTCAGTCTCCTCAGGGGGTGGAGGTGGCTTTGGCCCTTCTACAGAGCTTCAGTTTACTGATGAGGTGAACACCCAGGTACTTGGTTTCCACCACCTCAATGTCTGCTCCCTGGACGTTTACCGGTGAGTGAGGAGGAGTGTTTCTCTGGAAGTCAGTCACCATTTCCTTTGTCCTACTGGTGTTCAAGCAAAGGTGGTTACGCTCACACCAGTCCACAAAGTCCATGATGGCTGACCTGTACTCCAGGTCATTCACCTCAGACACTCAACCGACAATGGCAGAGTGTTACGGTTGCCAGTCTGGCCGGTGAAGAGCAGGAGTCAGGATCACCCAGCCCTAGTGAATAAGCCTGACGCTGCCCCTCCTCCTCCTCTCTCCCGGGCTGCTGAGGAGCACAGCTGAGCTGAATCTTCCTGATGAGCCAACATATGTATAAAAAGGCTGTGCCTTCAGCAGTCTGGGAGTCAGCAGTGCAGGGGTTCTGCTGTCCTCCAGGTTTTTGTTTGGTTTCAGCCCCTTTCGTTCGGATGAGTTTTAACGGTGGTAAGTTTTACTCTGAGTGATCCAGTGGGATCTTTTGTGTGTTTGTTTTTTTAAAGGTTAACTTGGTTTGGTGCAATTTTAGTGACTTCAGTTTTAAACACCTTTGTTGTGGTAAAGCTTTTTAAAATAAGTTTGATACCAGGTGGTTTAATCAGTATATTGTTTTAGACTTATCAACTTCGGTTCGGTAAAACTTTTAAGATGAGTTTTTATCAGGTGTTTTTATAGTTGGTAATTTGTGATGTTAACTTTTAGAGAGTTCTGTTTGTTTTTGGCATTATCTTTATAATGTGCCATCTGTTTGCTCGTTTTTAGAACCTTTTGTTACAAATAAAACCATTTTAAACCCCACCGTCATCTTTCTTATGTTACCCCCTCCTTCGCTTTTTAACAACACCTGTCGGGGACGTAACGCAGAGTCAAAGAGAACGTCTGGATGTAACAGCTGCCGGTGTAGTAGGTGAAGAGAAAGGAAACAATACATTATGGAAACAATGAAGAGATGACTGAGAAATGCAGCACAGGTTTGTGGAACCAGTGCTTTAGAGCTCATTAGTGAAACCTAAATGCATTGTTTCTGTTTCTGAAAAGAAAATGTGATAAATGGGCCCTTTTGACAACAATCTGTAAACAGCAGGTAGAGACCTCCCACTAGAGATCCCTTGGTAAAGCTTACGCAGGTATGGTCACAACATCTCGGGTGCCGACTTGGCTCTTAAACTGAGGAAAGAATTCATGTTTCTGGCTCAAGAACCACTGAAACCAGTCTAAAAGCAATAGCTTAAAGTGTTAAACTCATTATTGGTACTTTAATTTATTTTTAACATTCTTTAGACAAAGTGAAATAAATGGATTTGAATTGCAATGCTGACATGAGGTGAACGGTTACTGGGGCTCGACTAGGGCACCGTTCAGGTTAGACTTGCTGTCTGTGATGAAGTAAATCTGTAAGGTAACTGAGTTTACCTGCAGGCAGCGTGTCCTGTTTCTTTACTTTAAACCCTTTTATGTAGCCTAACCAATGAGTGTGTAAATCCAGATTGCTCTGAACTCATCCCTCCAGTCAACAAGCATTTTGTGCACACTTCTAGAGTAGGAACTGCACTTGTTGATAAGGTTGCATGTTGGACCTACAGAATTTATGGATTTTGACTTATGCTCTGTTGAGAAATTCCAGCTCCTACATCTCATCCCACTTTCTTTATTCACTTTACTTTTTGCTGGTTATTGACCTGCACAAAGCTTCCAGGCTATCATCACCCTTCACTTTCCTTTTTAAAAGACTATTTTTCATTTGCTTCCAAAGAGAATATTTTAAGAATCTCTCGAGCAGAGAAAATGGAGAGGAGATGATGCAGCAGGGTGGGATTGTGGAGCCATGTAAATGATTGGTTATGCTGCATCTCAGCTCATAATGCAAGCAGTTTAAAAATAACTTGTGCACGATTGTGGTGATAAGGTAAGGATTAAGGTCACAGATGTGGTCAGGTGTACTATGTGCATGTAATTTGTTGACAAACAGGATTAGGGATGGTGTGCGTTGCTGAATTCAGCAGTAAAACATTGTAATCCCTCGGTAAAGCTTAAGCAGGTACGGTCACAACGTTATGTGTTTGGATTCTCAGGTGCTGGCTTGGCTCTTAAACTGAAGAAAGAATTCAAGCTGCTGTCGGTTCAGCTACTTGGGATCAGCACAGCATCATATGTGGGACATATTTGCTCAGTTTGTGATCCCGGTCTTTACACTTTCTGCAGACTCGAAGACAAATTTCAGAGAAAACAATAGAAGCATGTTTTTCTTTTATACGTTTGCAAGAGGGAGCGTCAAACAACGCCTCAGGGATCAACTTTTACATTATACTCATCATTTATTCATGACTAAAGCAATGTCATAAGCATTTTCAACTCTACAGATACTTATGGTACATCTTAGCTCTGACTGGAGCAACTACAGTCAACGAAAACAAGCCTGCTACAAATTAGCATGTTTTGCAATGCAAGTGAGCGTTCAAGTATTACTCAGCTGTGATTTCTGTTTGCTGCCCCCATTAAACTCCTTGATGTCCAAAAAACTTAGTTAAAAATTGCTATTAGTTTTATTATTACAAATTGCAGCAACAACAGCAAAGGGAAGGGCTGAGCTTGAGCTTCAGAGCAGCCTCGTGTCCATCCTGTGAGCTCAGCTTGAAGAAGAAAAAAAATATTGCGGATTCATCTTTTTCTTTTGTTCAAGCTGCATCCATGAGCAGGACGTTTTTAATATCTTACCAGTGATCAAGGCCACTAACTCCCTGCAGAAACTCCAGATAAAATGTTTTCATTGCTGCAGGTTTTTAACTAAATCCATCTGAGATGCAATGCCGGCAAGCCTTGTATCAGTGGTGATGATTTGCAGTACTTTTGTAAATACTTTGATTTCACTTTCACCTTTGTGGATTATGGGATTGCCTCATTGGTTTGTGGGTTAAATGTTTAACCATAGACTTTGTGTGTGTAATGTTAATGCTTGTAAAAAGCCAAATTCAACCAAAAACATGCACGGATCTGCAGTTTCAGAGCTCGTTGTTATCGGACTAGGATCACAAGCTGCTGAAGCTTCTAATCCAGATGAAAATTGTAACATTTTTATTACTGATTTGTGTAAGAGTCGTTGGGGATGGTGTGTGTGTGCATTCTGAACAGATCGACTTGTTAGGGTCTCTAATACAGATGTTCTAAAATTGGGGCCGGTGATGGCTGAGTTGTAAAGCTGACTGGCCCATAAATGTAAGCGTTTATTATTGATATATACAACAGTCTGCAACAGTGAGTGATGGAATGTGGGCCAGTGCTTGCAGTAGGGTGTGCTAGTCAATAGTAGGGATGGCAAACGGCTAAGATCCAATCAATTAGAGACACTTTGTTCAAAAAACAGTTACTCGTGATACCAACGATAATTAAAAGACAACACAGGCCACACATGATAATATCATCTAAGGGATAAACCCTCAGTCTTATTGTCACGTTTAGAGTAGGAGGCTGGAACCAAAATGCAGAAATCCCAGAACGACTCAAGGCAGGAGAGGTTTTAAAGAAAACAATTCCTTTATTAAGGAGGATGTGCAAAAATCCACGGCACAAAAATAAGATTAACTTTCAAAAACTGAAAAGTCTAAAAACAAAACTCACACTTGAGCAAAGACTCTGGAAATACTCGAGAGGGGAAAGACAAACGTAGGCGATATGACAAGGAACCAACAAACACTGAGGGACAAGACAGGGCTTTTAATAAAGAGGGAGGCAATCAGGGGAACAGGTGGCAGGTGTGAGGAGTGAGGTCTGGAGGGAAGCCAGGTGCCATTAATATAACTAAATGGGGGGAAGAACTAAATAGCAGGGGGAAGATAATCCATAATCTCTAAAGCGCTAAATAACGAAACTTAAAGACTAAGGGCAAAAAGATGAACAACTAATGACTAGCGGGGTGAGGAGGACTAATACAAACCACAAACTTTAAGGGAGTGACTAGGAGGAGACATGAGGGAAGCCTAAAGGGAGCTGGGGAACGCAAGAAGACACATGAGGAGAACCTGAGGAAGAACAGGAGGGGGCTGGGGACCAAGGGGACACAGAACATGACATGTATGACCTGGGGAGAAAAGCTCCTGAACATTCTGGTACGATGGAGGGTTATTGTACTCCAGATGGCAGCTGGTTTAACAGCTTATGAGTGGAGTGTTAAGATTAGTGCTATAAAGCAGATGCTATAGTTGCAAATTGTTAGACTTTCTTTGGAGTCTGCTGGTGTTGGAATAAAAACAGTAGTCCTCCTTTAAAGGGACACTTAGCAACTTTTTCATATTTTTAAATAAATTCCTTGAGCCAGTATGTGCTGCAAGTACCTTTTACAGGGTTAATGAAAAGTCACTAAGACCCCTCTGTGGCCATAATACCACACTTGCAACTTCAAAGTGTCAGTGCGGTCTGTTGGGAAAAAAAATGGAGCTGACATACCTGGCGCTGCAGTCTAGTTCCAGCACCTTTCCTGCATGTTTTAAATCATGAAAACAGCTGGTTTGTTTGATTTTGTGATGAACTGCTCCTGTAGACACTATTGAAGGGTGGGGAGACATTTCAGCTGTTAGAGAAAGGTAAAGCGAGAGATACGTTTTGCTTTTAGCACCACTAAACGGACACTAGGGAGTGCTTAAAGTAAGCCAGAACTGCCTAGTCTCCCTTTAAAGGACATCCTCATTGGGGGAAATGCATTGACCCATTAACAGTGTCAGATGTACCAACAATTGAGAGTAAGAACTTCATGCCTTTGTCTTCTTCAGTACCAAGTTGGAGACAGAGTCTGCAGACTTCGAATGTCCAGCCTTCTCACCCAGACATGCAAATAGTGTTTTTATTAATTTACAATTTTTTAAGCTTGAAAAATGTGTCACAACTAAACCTACAAGGAACATTGTCGTTATACAGCAGTATGGAAAACTGATCTGAGTCTGAATTATACTTTGATATATTTTTTAATGAGGACATTGTCCTGTTCATTTACACAAAGAGAACAGGGTTTAAAGTGTGTATGGGAACCAACCATTAGGCATACAGTACAGGCCAAACGTTTGGACACACCTTCTCATTCAATGTGTTTATTTTAATGACCATTTACATTGGGAGATTCCCACTGAAGGCATCAAAACTATGAATGAACACATGTGGAGGTATGTACTTAACCAAAACAGGTGAAATAACTGAAAACATGTTTTATATTCCATTTTCTTCAAAATAGCCACCCTTTGCTCTGATTACTGCTTTGCACACTCTTGGCATTCTCTTGATGAGCTTCAAGAGGTAAACAGCTGAAATGGATATCCAACAGTCTTGATGGAGTTCCCAGAGGTGTTTAGCACTTGTTGACCCCTTTGTAAATGGTCATGAAAATAATGAAAACACATTGAATGAGAAGGCGTTTCCAAACTTTTGGCCTGTACTGTAGCTTACCTGTTTTGGCTTTATTAGCTAGGTTTTATTAAGATGAATAGATTTATATTTTACTGTGCCTTATATGTGATAAAATACTTGGTAAACAATTTAGGAAAAGTAAACAACTGAAGAACAACAAGAGCAAACAGAGTACATTGCTACAAATAAGAAAGCAAGTTCAGTGAGAAACGTAAAAGACTTGTTCTGTTTGAAATATGATTGGTTTTACATGCATGCTAAACACAAAAATAGTCTTCTACACTGATAACAAATAGACAGAGAAAGGCTCGGGTCAGAAGAAGCAACACAGACCTCCTGCATCAAGCTGTAAATTAGCATTCATAGATGCACCCACCTTGGCTCTACCGGGACGGACTTAGGGATGGGTACCGACTTCGGTACTTTTTAAGGTACCGACCGAATTCCATAGTACCGACCGAGCACCGATTCACGTCGTTTCAAACGGTGCCTCGTTTCGGTACCCGTCCTTCATAACGAGAACTTGCCAAGACAGCTGAGCACGCGCAAGAGAGTTATGTCGTCGGTCCCTGCGAGCGAGTTGTAAACAGAGCAGCATGGTAGAAAGAACGCACGCTAAAGCTTGGGTCCACTTCACTAAATGTGATGGGTAACTGGGTGATGATGAAACCAGCGGCAGACAACGATCTAAGTGAGACATCCTCATCTTAATCTGCTCCAGTAGGTAAATAAAATGTTTAAGATAACGTTACCTTGATATGTTAGCTTCCATTTCGCTAATGGTGCGTTCGCTTTCTCCTCGGAACTCCGATTTTCTGACTAGAAGAACATGAACGCGCTCTAAAGTTTGGCTTAACTTTACTAAATGCGACGGGTGATTGGGTGAAGATGAAACCAGCGACAACGATTTAAGTGTGAGGCATCATCGTTTTAATCTGCTCCAGCAAATAAATAAACTGTTAAAGATAACGTTAGCTTGATATGTTAGCTTCCATTGCCACCGTTGTTATCAGCTAATGGTGCGTTCGTTTTCTCCTTGGAAATTCTAACTTCCCAGTAGGAAAAATCAAATGAAAAAAGACGGCAAAAGGAATGAAGATTCACAGTAAATTTAGTTCACAGTAAAGATGTTTGCTTCAGTTTAATTATCAGCTTATAAAACTACAAGGACGATGTTAAAATACAAACAGTTGTATGTTATTTATCGTGATATTTATCAAATATGGTTATATATTGAGAAAAATACATATTTAATTATAAAAGAGAATTAAAATAATAAACACTCAAAAGTATCGAAAATTGGTACCGTTAAGTACCGGTATCGATTCGTAGGTACCGGGAATTAGTACCGGATCGATTCAAATGTCAAAGGTACCCATCCCTAGGGACGGTAGTTGTTGATTTAGCTTCCAGAAGAGAGCAGAGCATGTGTGGGTCAGTATAAGGTAACTGTTAGCATTAGCAACTCCACAATGTTCTGTTCTGTTCTATTCTACTACAACAACTACAAGTAATAACAATTCTAAAATAAGCTATACCTGAAAAATAAATAGATATACAATTTAAAAAAAAAGATATTTAGTTTTTATTTAAGTTTATGTTTAGTGGACTTATAGGTATATGGTACTGATATGAGAAACATCATAAATCAATTAGATTTTATTTTTGGCTCACTCATTGCTTGGTCTCCCTCCAGGTTTTGTTTAAAAATGTATTTTTGTGAAATATGAGTAAGCTGTGATCTGCTGCCAGAGCCGTCTGTGCACACGCAGAGGCACATTCCTTTGAAATTAAAAATTTTCACGGATCAAACATTTGATCTGAGATCAGCGACCAGCCTCTCTTCACTTTAATCTTAATTAACCAATTTAACCATGCAAACACACATCTAATACGTTAAGCACATGCACCTTCTAAGCATCTTCATGTTGACTCTGCTATTAGCTAATCAGCATTAAATTACAACGTAAATGTCTTCTCTGTTCCCCCTCAGTCCACCTATCTGTCGAGCAGAGGAAGAGCTGCCAGATGGGAGTCACAAGTTCTCACCAAACTCCGAATCATCGCCTTTAGAGCCTCCGAAAACCTGTGGTTAGTCTTGTACTTCACCTGTACCTTCTCTCTCTCTCTCTCTCTCTCTCTCTCTCTCTCTCTCTCTCTCTCTCTCTCTCTCTCTCTCTCTCTCTCTCACACACACTCACACACACACACACACACACACACACACACACACACACACACACACACACACACACACACACACACACACACAGAAGGAGCACTTTAACATCCATTACTCCACCCTAACACTGACTCACACCATCACAGACCTTTTTTGGGGACCTGCCTTTAACTGGGTCAAAAGACCAACGATACTTTACTTACTTGTAATCCTCTTAATCTACAAGAACTCTTTGATGGGATTGTTCTGCGCTTTCATCTCACCTCAGAATTTAAAACCATTTATTTTCATTTGCAGAGAACATTCGTCTGATATTCCTTTTCATCTTCAGCTCGCTCCGACTCGCCTCCTAACTTCTTCAAATCTTTTTGCTCCTGTTCCACTTTTGCCATTTCTGATCACTTTTCCTGTATTTTTATTATAACATGAAGGTGGATTTTCTGAGACGTACGCTGCCCTTTGTGACTACAATGGAATTGGCTGCAAGGAGGAAGTGCAGTGGGTAAGACTGGGTTTAGCTCCTTGGAGAATTTTGGCATCAGCTTTCATGAAAATTAGTACAATAAACATCCTGTTTTTAATTATTTCTTTATTTTAGGATGTAGACACAATCTACCACTCTCAGGACAACAGGGAGTTTAACCTACTGGATTTCAGCCATCTGGACAGCAGGTAGGGACATCTTCAACACACCGTGTGGGCCGTGTGGGCTAATTCTGACTCCAAAAACATAAGTACCAGATTTTGACTGCAGCGGTGTACATTACAGACAGGTTTGGCAATGTACACCAACACATTTGATTTGACATGTAGTGGTGGGAATGAGGCTAAAGTGATGATTAATCTGTGGCTGTTTACATCTCCACCAAGAGGCCTTTAGTAATTGGAGAAAAACACACACACATTAATTTGTCAGTTCGGTTCCAGTCAGTGTTTGGCTGAAGTCTACTTAATGCACACATCAGTGACTTTGTAACTCGGCCAGGACTGTATACAGCAACAACCTTCAGCTTTGCTTTTACACACACACACACACACACACACACACACACACACACACACACACACACACACACACACACACACACACACACACACACACACACACACACACACACACACACACTTATGACTTTGATGGTAAAGATATTCATCTGACGAGCACACCGTGGAAAAAATTAAATTTCAAGGTCTTGGATGTTTAGAGATTTGAACATTTTTTACGAGAGTTTCTCAAACGATGACTTCAACAACCTTCGTCCTCATAAAGGATTCAAGTGCTCCAGCACTCGAGCTTTTATGATTGCACTGCACTTGTTAAGATCTTCAACTGCACAGAAAATCCTGAAATGGAGTCATTTGCAAAAGGACATGGTAATATTTGACCATGATTGCTTTCATGTTACATGTTATTTACACAGAGCTGAATTGGCGTGACTAGTGTTTGTTTGATTGGTTTTATTGTCCGACATTCAATCCATCCAATCCTGTTGAAGTAATCTCACAGCTTCGTACTTTAGCAGTGTGTGGTTAAGTGTGTGTGTGTGTGTGTTTTTTAAATGTGCTTTTTGAAAATGTTTCACATGAAGATGATTTATGTTGCTCTCATGATTTAGTCCTGATAAATGATAAATGATAAATGGCCCGCACTTGTATAGCGCCTCTCAGAGTAAGGACTCCAAAGCGCTTTACACTACAGTGTATCATTCATACGATATGATATGGGACGGGCATATGATGTAGGACGGGCTTTTGCAACTTGTTCACAAGCTAGTGGTCATTGTTAGTGTTGGTGTTTTTAGACCCGTTCCATGGTTATGGTTACTTTAGGGATCCATCTGTTGGGGGAGATGGTGTCTAGCTGCAGCACGCATTGTAGTAGAGGTGGGGGACACCTTGGACATGTCACAGTCCTTCTTAGGGACACACAGAAACAAACAACCATTCACATACACAGTCACGCTCAGTGACTATTTCTAGGGTCCATACAACCTGACATGCATGTTATTGGTCTGTGGGAGGAAACCAAAGCAGAGAAATATGTGTGGAGAACAGAAAGGCCACAGAAGGAATCTGAATGGGTGACCTTCTCTATGAGAGGCAACAGTGAAATCAACCAGATACTATGTAGCCCATAAAAATGTTCATAATTTGAAATACATCACTTTTTCTATGAAACAGTAGCTCAAGAAGAACATCTTGCTTCATGCTTGTTTGAAATGTGGTATGAATATGTTGTATGGTATACCGTGTGAATATGGTATGAATATCAAATGTTAACACCTCTTAACAGACTTTATAGGGGGCGTCTACCTTTTTCTGATTGGCAGCGGTGGAATGGTGGGGTTTAGTTATTGAGTGATGGTTGGATGGACTGACAGCTTGTCTGCATTAATGATGTGCTATTCCGGTCTTTTGTAGTTATAAACAAGCTGTTCATACAGGAAATGCTCTCTAGTCTTATGGGTTTGTCTACATTCCATCGCTCGCCTATGGTCACAAGATTTAGGTTGTGACCAAATAAGCAAGATTTCAGAAAAATTAAACACTTTTGTAATGTGGCTGTGGGTTAAGGTGAGGAGTTTCTTTCGCTGGGTGGAGTTTTGAGTAGACTGTCTGATCCTCTTCATTGAAACTGATGTGGTATGTGCCCACTATACTTCCTGGCCAAACAGTCAAAGGAGGGATCATAAATACTCTGTGGCTTGGAAAGACAATGGAATGCCCCATGAGAAGCTGGGGAGAATGATACCTGGAATTTCTTCTTGGCCAGACTCCACAAACCAACTTTGGATAAATGGATGGATGGATGGATGGATGGATGGATGGATGGATACATGGATGTATGGGTGGATGGATGGATACATGGATGTATGGGTGAATGGATGGGTGGGTGGGTGGATGGATGGATGGATGGATGGATGGATGGATGGATACATGGATGTATGGGTGGATGGATAGATGGATGTTTGGGTGGGTGGATAGATGTATGGATGGATACATGGATGTATGGGTGGATGGATAGATGGATGTTTGGGTGGGTGGATAGATGTATGGATGGATACATGGATGTATGGGTGGATGGATAGATGGATGTTTGGGTGGGTGGATAGATGTATGGATGGATACATGGATGTATGGTTGGATGGATGGATACATGGATGTATGGGTGGATGGATGGATACATGGATGTATGGGTGAATGGATGGATGGATGGGTGGGTGGGTGGATGGATGGATGGATGGATGGATGGATACATGTATGGATGGATACATGGATGTATGGGTGGATGGATAGATGGATGTTTGGGTGGGTGGATAGATGTATGGATGGATACATGGATGTATGGGTGGATGGATAGATGGATGTTTGGGTGGGTGGATAGATGTATGGATGGATACATGGATGTATGGGTGGATGGATGGATACATGGATGTATGGGTGGATGGATGGATACATGGATGTATGGGTGAATGGATGGATGGATGGGTGGGTGGGTGGATGGATGGATGGATGGATACATGTATGGATGGATACATGGATGTATGGGTGGATGGATAGATGGATGTTTGGGTGGGTGGATAGATGTATGGATGGATACATGGATGTATGGGTGGATGGATAGATGGATGGATGGGTGGATGGATAGATGGGTGGGTGGGTGGATGGATGGATGGATGGATGGATGGATGGAAGGAAGGATTGCTTGCTTCGTATGAGGATTGCTGCATAGTCACTGACACTAGTCAGTGACTTGATGCAATTTTCTGGGTTCCTTATATAGGACACTTTATTTCTGATTGGCTTAATGAACTGTGAATTGGAATGTTTATATGTGAAGTGCCTTGAGACGACTCTTGTCGTGATTTGGCGCTATATAAATAAACTTGAATTGAATTGAAGGATGGATGGATGGATGGATGGATGGATGGATGGATGGATGGATGAGTGGATGGATAGATGGATAGATACATGAATGGGTGGGTGGATGGATGGATGGATGAATGGGTGGGTGGATGGATGGATGGATGGATGAATGGGTGGATGGATGGATGGATGGATGGATGGATGGATGATGACAGATGAATAAATGGATGGATGGGTGATTAGATGGATGGATACATGAATGGGTGGATGGATGGATACATGGATGTATGGGTGAATGGATGGATGGATGGATGGATGGATGGATGATGACAGATGAATAAATGGATGGATGGGTGATTAGATGGATGGATAGATGATAAATGACCCGCACTTTCCCATGGCAATAAATTTGATAATCAAACAATGAAAATATGTGTGTAGGTTGGCAAAGTTCATGTCTCTTTAAGAATCTGTACCGCCTCCAGTCATGTGACAACATGACCCAACATAGTCCACATGACAGCCCTATCTAGTGGGCAATTTGAAGCATACACACAGTCATCGTCCATTTCTCTCTATCGAGGGGAAATCCTCAAGATAACGCAATATTGATTATAAGCCATATCGCCCAGCCCTAGTCTGGAATATGTTTAACTGTGTCTGCACAACTAAGCTCTGATTGTGTTGTTGGTGAGGTCATTTCAGCTCTGACATCTGTCCATCAGCATCCTCATTGGACTGTCTCCCAGCATCCCTGAGCAGGAAACATGGTGACTTTTAAAACCTAATTTCATACATCTTTCAGTTGTTGTATTTGTTTATTTTCTGTCTGAGTGGTTAATACATTTTCCCTGATGTGATGTGCCCAGAATGTATCTTCGCTTTCTTTCCCTTTATTAGACTTCTCAGCTCGCAGACCATCATAGTTGATGACAATTCATGCCGATGTTCTGCATGACTTGCCATTTTAACTGAAACCTTTTCAATTTAAAGGTCAAGTACACAAGCTAAATCCAGAGTTGTATTTGCTCTGGAATAAGTGCTCTCCACTGCATTATTAATGTAAAGTTGTGAGCAGTGGCACAATCCTCTTAGCTAATGCCAGAACCAAGGAAAGCTCTCTTTCATCAACGGAGATGTAGGAGCATGAGAAATTCAATTCAATTAAACAAATGCCATACTTCAGCATTTGGTTGGTTTATAAGCTTGTAAATGTTCTATAAATGGCCTTTATTGCTGCAGTTGGTCTCTGTGTGTCTGCTCACATGATTGGCCCTTCATGTCTGCAACAATCATTAACTTCCTCCGTTTTGCGTTTCAAGGTTGTGAAGAAAAGGCCGGACTCAACTGTGTACAAAGCCTACTTAGTCTGCACACACAGCACAGCTTGGTCATTTAAACCGATTCAATAAAAACATACCTTTATTACAATGCCAAAGATTCCTTTTGGAGTGTTACACCCCTTCAGGCCAAGGAATACCAAGAGGGGCAACACAAGTGTGGTGGGAGCAAACACGAGGACAATTAAAAGTTCAAAAGGAGTTTATTAACTAAAAGTGTCCCTGGCAGGTATAAATAAGGTTGATGGAAATAATAATGTCAGAGGTCTGATAAAAGCTGTTATTCTAATTAAACGTCTAAAGCTCTGGGCAAGGCCCCACACTCGTACAATACCCAGCCCGGGGTAAGTTTTCCTCCTTCAGGTCCTGTGTTACTCCAGCTGTATCAGGCGTCTCACGCTCTTCTTTTCTTTCTCTCGTTCTGGAAGCCGGTGGTTCTCCTCCCATAATGATCTCTGTGTCGGT